TCAGTACGTTTGGCCGAATTACTATTGGTGATCCGTTTTAAATCTGTCTCTCGACAACTACAAACGTGACGGGTGATTTGATGCACCCCAACAACAGTGCTGTCGTAGCGATTTTGCATAGTGTGTACATACATATATGCAATATATGCATATATGCGAGCCATGTCACTGAATATGCGGATTATATGCATGTGTTCTCTTCATTTTTCTTTTTAAGTAACAGTTTTTAGTAAAAGTAAGTAATGATTTTTAAAATTTCAATAGCTATTAAATTGCTTTCAAAATTTTCACCAGAATCGTATTTAATTGGGTTATGTGTTTTCATTAATTATTTTATTTATATTTAATACATAACCGCATGCTCTTGGCTTGCTTTCACTAATTGGCGTGATTTGAGATGTGTATGAAGTTAGCCCCACACTTTAATAAGATTAAAATAATCGAAATTGTACTGCATTGTACTAGTTTTGTACCAAATTGTACCGTAGTTAATTTTTTGAAATCACGCGCGGATTTCCAAAAAATCAAAATTTTTGAATTTTTTGAGTAACCCCACACTTTTCAAAAAATGATTTTTTCTCGACTGTACTACATTGTACTAGTTGTACCGAACATTGTACCGTTTGAAAAAAATTCCTAACAAATTTGGATTTTGAGAAAAACGAGAAAATCGAAAAATTTTGGACATTACGTAATTACAGCAAATCGGCTATTTTTTAAGATATCGAAACGCGGCCAACGGGGTTCGAAAGAGAATCGTTTGTACTGGTTTGTACCGCTTTGAATTTCGTTTGCACCTCAACCGGACCGGAAGTACCGAATTTTGAAATTTTTAATGATACGTAAATACGGTAACTTGGCTGTTTTTTAAGATATCGAAACGCGGCCAACGGGGTTCGAAAGAGAATCGTTTGTACCGGTTTGTACCGCTTTGAATTTTGTTTGCACCTCAACCGGACCGGAAGTACCGAATTTTGAAATTTTTAACAATACGTAAATACGGTAACTCGGCTGTTTTCAAAAAATTAACTACGGTACAATTTGGTACAAAACTAGTACAATGCAGTACAATTTCGATTATTTAATTTTATTAAAGTGTGGGGCTAACTTCATACACATTGATTTGAGGGAGCGCATTTTTTTTTTAAATCTCTACATCGTTCAGAAAGTAAACTATTAAATCTTTCGAGCGTTAACGCTAACTCTAACGACACGTACGACATAATTGCCGCGGTGACAGTTACACAGCATCCTTAATAACCCACGAAAACCAAGAAAAAGGAGGTACACAATGAGAGATGACTGCCGTGGCGGCTGTTCGTTGGGCATAGAGTCGTGGTATGCAGAGGGGTTGCCTCGTCGTCACGGCACATATTTTATACGGCAATTTGGCCGTAAGTGGTAAGAACGTAAAGTTAACAAGTCGCGGGGGTTGGCTAACAGAAACAAACGAGAAACCGGGACTCTCGGCACAGGTGGTGGCGGTGGTGGCGGCACGATGGTGGTGTTGCATCGCGCTGGGTCGAGAAGAGTGGAAGTTGCCTTCGGGGGGTGAGATTTACGAGCGTCGCCGGCCGGTGCGAAAAAGTTTACATTTGCTTGTGTCCCAGTCTCTCTCTCTCCCTCTTTCTCTCTCTCTCTCTCTCTCTCTGTACGGCTCGCCGGAAGTAGCCGAGGGGATTGACGGCGTTGCGCGATAAAACACAGTCGCGATAAACTAGATGTTGCGGATTCGCAATACAAGCTTTATGTTTAAGCGTGTCGTGTTTCGATTGAGTCGTGTATTCCTTTGCTTATCTATTCGAATGTGACTTAAGGTGATTTATTATATAGTTATAATAAAATAAAAGATTCAAAGTATTCAGGGATAAAAAAAGTTTGCATAAATTGCACGAAAGGATTTATTTAGTAAGCAATGAAAAATAAAGCGGATAGATTAATTTCCCGAAGTAGAAATAGATGACAATGTTTTAATATTCAAATTATAATTTTGAATGATTTTTGAATGATTTTGAATGATTTTGAATGATTTTTGCTTTTAAACTTTTAATTTAAAGCTTGGTGTTAACGAAATACTTAATGCGTTAAAAATTGAGAAATATACAACAAAATTGTAGCAAACAATATTTCATATTATTCTAAATATTTTTATTGATTATTTATCTTCTATTTTTCTTGAGCAAGAGTTAGTTTGCGTAGCCAACAAATTATAATACATTTTATATTTTCTATTTCTGTACGATTTTCTGTATTCGAAGATGCGACTGCACGAGTTGAGGCAACACAGCTTGCATAGAGCCACAAAAAAGAATATAATGTGTATCTCGTTTGCCTTTAGTTGACCCGGTTTCGCGGTTTAATGCCGTAAAAAACCCGATGAGCTCGCCGAATGCATCATCGCCGCAGTTGAAATTTCTGACAAATCGACACCTCTGTGTGCGTTGCGTAACGAGCACGACCGGACGCGAGTGTTGTGTCCGGCTGAAAAGTCTAGCCGGGGAACATTTCGCGAGCAAACTTTTTTAATTAAATGGATACTCGACTACGTGGCGGTGCCGATCAATTTGATACACGCGACGGGAGGGGTGACGGTCGTCAAGAAATTTAATTTTCGGAAGCACTGGTCATGAACGAAAAAAGCGACGGCGGCAATAAGGTTCCGATCGTTTCAGAAAATTCGCATCGAGGCACAATCCGAACGTTTTGCGCACGTTGGGCCGGCCGTAATATTGAAGTCGACAATCGCCTTAAGGCGGTCTTTAATTTTAAAGGGTAAAATTGCGTATTTCGAGTTCGCTGCGCTCGAACACTTCGTTGCGAGATTGCGCTTAAAATTGCTGAGAAAATATCGGTGTATATGTGAGAAATATAACTGTAGAAGATATTAACCATCTCCTGACGCTAACAAAAAAAAAAAGGAAGAAGCATTAGCTATAGACTTTATAACAATGAAAGCGCGAAAGGTAGAAAAGTAAGCAACGAATGAAATGACCGAGATAAAAATAAAACAGACATCTTATAAGTAATAAAAGCACAGATTAAAAGGAAGATAAATAGAAACAACATAGAATCGGTGAACCACAATTTAGGAAAATGCGAACGGAGATATTCTATCGAACGGTGCAGCGAATGGAGAAAAGAAGGAGGTGAAGACGGGAGTCGAGAGGGATACTTGAGAGAAGAATGGAGGCAAGAACGATGGAAAGAGGAGTCTATAGGAAGTATCTATTCTTCAGAGAGTATTGCGTATATAGGAGACGAGGGAAGGGAGGGAATAAGGAACGTCTAGGTGGAAATAGAAAGAAGTGTCCAGGAGAAACGAGGAGATCGCTCTCCGATGTGTACCGAAAAAAAATAGTGGAGGGAGGGGGGGGTTGAGTTAGATCTCGCGCTTCCTGTCGACTATCGAACCTCCGGAGCAATAGACAGCAAACATTTCGTGAAACCTCATCTAACCTCGCGGTTGCCGATAGCCGTTAACTCATTGGTGGGGGCACAAAGAGGAGTAACAAGAAACGCAAGCTCGATTTCTCGTGCTCTTCCGAGTAGAGACGTCGGTGTGAGCAAAACGTTTTCTCGTCGTTTGCACTTTCTCTGTCTCTTTACAGGATGTTTCAGAATAAACAGATCTAACTTTAATGGTGAATTTCTGGATGAATTTAAAATCGTTCTCTTTTTATCAAAAATATCATTATTATTTGTTGCCAAATTTTTAATATCCCTATAGTTAAATATAAAATTGAAAAATTAATTTCCGTTAAATATAAAAAATTGTGCATATAAATAACTCGAGAACAAAAAGCTTTCTGTTTTCGATATGTGTATTCATATATTCATAAATTATTGATGCGTTGAAAATTTTATTGAAAAATAAACTTCAGATTGCTGAAAAAATCTATAATCATAATTTAATAACTGTAGAATTTTCTCTTTTGAAATAATCAACTTATCCTGAGAAATCCTGTACATCTATTTCTATCTCTATTGTAGCATCAAGCAACTATACATTCGCTTTTCAAGTTGAAGCTGCAATCTCGACTTCTCGATAATTACGAGAACCTACGGTTTTCCGATTTCTCGATAAAGTCGGGCTTTGCAGTCTCTCGAGAAAGAGAAAGAAAGACGATTCCTGATCGCTTTAAGTTAAGAAGTGTATACAGAGTATATGTAGGTTTAGATTAGCAGTGTTACTATTCCTCGTGCGAATAAACACAAATAAAGTTAAATGAAATAAAACGTACTATTGTTGAACGCAATGACTATTGGCTATTTGACATCGTAAGCATTCAATTGAGGAATGATCATGCAAAGCTGATTAAATCCAGTGAGATAAATTTTGTGTGGTAAATTTATAAAATGCGTTGCGTTTAAAATATGAACATGTTTCGTTTGAATTGATGGATTTTTGTATACATATTTTTACAGGATATTACTTAATTTTAAGAGCAATAAGAGGATTTATTTCGCCATTATACTATTTATATCTGTGAATATATAAAATTTGCAATCTGTGCCATATAACATTTCGATTTTCCTTTTTCATTTTACTTTAAAAAATACATTTAAATTATTATATACTTTTTCCAAAGGGTTTTTTTGTAGTTATAATAATTTTTTATATAATTTTTTTTTAAATAACAACAAATTTATTATATATTAATAAAAAAAGTTTAGTTCTATTATTTAAAAATTTTATAAAATTTTTATAAAATTAGCTCTATTATTAATAAATTGATAAATTTTATATTATTTTATACAAACATTTAATGATTCAAATTTAATGACTGAAAGGCAATATTTATACTTCATATTTTATTTTTTTCCTCCTAAAATATGATTATAATCAGAAACTTGTGATTATTTTTAATGAAGTACTTCACAGTAATATATTTTAATAATAGTTTGTTTTTGAGAGATATCGGCGGCATAATAAATAAGCGAATAGCAAAGTTAATTATGTGAAATTTATATAACATGACAAATAATGATAATTTGCTTACCTGCATGCCGGTTCACCGACGGTCTCGAAAAATAGACAGGTACCACCGTTCATGCAAAAGTCTCCTGCTATTGGACAGGGCTGCTCCTGCCGTATCCATGTTGTCGCTACAATGAAAAAAGTATAACGTTATTATCATATATCTACAATATCCTCGTTATGAAAGACATGCTGCATGAATCATTGCGAAGAATTTCGCGGCTTTATACCAGTTTTGGAAACGCAGTGAGTCTTTCGATTATTATTACTGTCATTATTAAAAAATGTGTAGATTTAGAAAATGCAATTTAAAAAAATTAATATTATATTATCACATGAAAAGTATATGCAAATTATGCGATGAGCACAAAGCGTAAAAAATTCTTTGCGAATGCAGTTGACTATTTTGCAAACCGAAGTTTGCAGACGCGCGATGCATTTTACATCGTTCGTCCGGTGGCTTATCAGACGTAAAAATTTTAAAAGTTACCAGCGCGTTGTATGTGTCAGCGCGACGTTCGCAACTGGCGAAAAACCGCGTTGCGCGTTTTGCCGTTCGAAGCTGCGGTGAAAATTTTCATTCGTTCTCCGGCTGTTACGTCGCATCTCATAATGCGCATTAGCATGATAAAACGAAGTAAGCCGCGGCAAGATGGAAATTGTACGCGGGTCGCAGATAAAAAATACGCGGATTAAATGCAATAGCACATTTAATAAAACTGGAATACGCATCATCGCTACGCGTAATTAATTATTGTGGACTGTTATCTGTCCGATGTACAGTTTTAATGTTCAAAAATTTTCGCGTTTCGCGTCGCATACACTTGGCTCGTCCGGTCGCATACCGATTTAATTATTAATTTAATTGCAACAAACATTAATTAAAATATCGTTAAACTGCATTTACTGCAGGACAACATGATGCATTTTCGGGGGGGTAGCACATAATATGAGGTTATTCCCTGTAATTGCGTAAAATTTTGTAAAATCATTCGACGCGTGTTACGCAAAATAATAGCAACGTATTGGGGAAACGTTGTGTAATGTAGTTTACTCATTACCGTTCACATACGGTCATTTACATTATCGCCACGTTGCATTACCAACGCTTGAATCACAATGTGATCGCAATTAGGTAGAGATTCTTTATCTACCATCTTTATCTTAAACATTTTGCATTTTTACTCATTTCTTTTTGGATGTAATAGTTAAAAGCAAAATTATTGAATAAAGCGGAGAAAGGTGTTCGTTTTAAATATGCATTTGTATTTGAATTTATTTTAAATAAAAATAACAATAAATGACACCCATTGGAGACATCCGCGTAGTTAATCTGTTATGTGGCATGTATCAAGCTTATCCACAGCGACGTGCGAACGCGAATAAAAGAATTGCATCTGCTTCGGAAGTGCAAGCTGTCGACACAATCGATATATCCCATCTCCTGTCCACCGCGCCACGCCGTGTTGTTGCTTTCGTCAGCACTCTCGCCAAGCGCACTACTCGCTCACGCGAATAAAACGCGCGCTAAAATTTTGCCTCTCATAGGAAAAACGATATTCATAATATTCAAATGCCTCGAGATGCCTCTGTGCAGTTTCATTTCGATTGGACGTGTCTTCTCGCGAAATTAGTCTTTACTATGCAAATGCAGCAGTTGCGAAGAACGAAAACGGTCGGTTTGTGAAGATGTTAAAACATCGTTTGCACGCTCAAAACTTTTCCCGACCTTTGACCACGGTTGCTCCCCTTTTCTCTTTTCCTGTTGCAAAACCGCAGCGTCGGCAACGATCGCTAGACGATGCTGACACGTCATAGCTGCCATCGAATGATCGCTTGAAAACGGAAGATAAGTTTATTACTCAAAAAGATGGCCTGGCTGGAGATCATATACTTGGAACTGATTTGTTGCATTGAATAAAAACAGAGAGCTTTTGTGCATACAAATATTTACAATCTAGATTTATTATTAGATAAAAATCTATCATAAAAAATTTTTTCTCGAAAAATTGAAAATGCAAATTAATATTATTTATATTAAGCGTACTATCGTTCTGTAAGAATTTTATGCCATCGATAGCGTGAAATCTCACAGCTTAATTATGCCGCCAAAAAATATTGCGATGTCACACTTAGCCTGCTACAATTAACCCAATTGGCACCATGCGCAAAAAGTGCATTTTACAAAATTGGTTTCAACCGTCGGGAGCACTACGAAAAAAGCTTCCGCTCGGATTTCCGGAAGTTCAGTCGGCAAAAGTTTGCCCGGTGGTGACCTCAAATGTGCACGTGGAAAGGTATATCCGCTAATTGCAAAAAATCTCCGTCTGCTCGACGAACATATCATATTAAAAACCGCGGGGTAAAACTAAAAAACTGTCTTTGATGGGAATAGAGATGAACGTTAATGCCGTACGTGGAGAGCCTGGTCGTGCGTGAGGCTTTCGCCAAACGTAACGACGAGCTTTCGAAAGCGCCATTATTACAGCCGGATTAGTAGTCCGCCGCCATTCGGTCGGTCCGGTATTATCGTGCTTGTAACTGAAATTTTACTCGAGAGCTTCAGAAAGCATTGCACTAACACTCCTCGATTCTTTCCCGTTGTCCGAGCCTCATCTCTTTTTCGCGCGCGCGTTTCTTCTCGTTAACTCGTTAACGAGTAGAAGACATTTCACAGTGAAAGCTCTTACCGGCTGCCTGGCCAGCTGGTGCACGCGGAAAAGCGTTCTGTTAGGCAAAATTTCAATTTTCTCATCGCCGATATGCCAGCGAAAATGCGCTGCCGTGCATTTGCGCGGGCCAATGTGCAGCTTTACGCAACTCTTCGTGACGGCTTTGGCTCCTCCTTATAATCTTTTGTTGTAATAATATTCACTAATTCCGAATTATGAGAAGAGATGATTATGCTGCTCTTTGTCTCATATTATAATGGGAAATGAGTATTAAGGAAGGCAAATTTTTCGAACAATTTGAGCGAAAATTAGTTTTAAAAATATTTCTATGCAAATCCCTAATAATATCTGGCTGTGAGACAACGTTATTGCTTTTTTGTGTTAAAAAAAAATCTTAAAATTGAAAGTCCTAAAATTTTCAGTAAGTTTCCAAGGTTTCACCTACAAAAATAAATTTACAGCACTTGGAAATTAATCGATCACATACGTGAAACTGTTTGGTGTTAATCAGTAACCGCTTCATGTTAACGTTCAAGCAATTGGGTATCAGGTGCTTTCGCTAATGCGTCTTCACCTCGTAGCAGACTATAGTACAATATCAGCAAAGTGCTTGCGTGCAAAACTAGTATATTCATCACCGTCACCGGTACTGAACGTGTTAACCCTTATCTATGCAATGCGAGTTTGTTGAACTTCTAAAAATTAAACTGAAACCTCCTTCCGAAATAAATTTCTAAACTTGCCAAATTTTTCATTGTACAATCTTTAATTTTATAAAGACAAATTCACATAAGTTTTGATATTCTTATTGTATAAAATATTTATCGTTGGTATATAATATCGATATTGTTACAAAAGTAGTATAAGATAGCTTTTCTTTAAAAACTTATGATATTAGTTTATATTTGGAAAATATATCACGGTAGATAAAAATATAAAAGTAGATTAAAAAAAATTAATTTTAATTGAACGATTGAAGTCTTTGGCAGCCGCGACGAAATGTGTGGAATATAAATGAGGTGGAAAATGCTTCTTGCGATTAATTGCATGCATGTTTTGTTATATTTATTTCGATTATGCCGCGTCCGCCTGCCGGTGGAAGCGTGTTAACCGCGCGTAAATAAATGATGCCGGAAAATTGAATCGGCGCCTGAGTTCGGCGGGCCGGTATTCCGCCGTGGCTATTCTCGGGTTCTCTTTCGAGACTGCATCGAGGCGCCGGTTCAATTTCCTAACGTCATTAGTCATCGCGGCGAATTCGCGCTATCGTGCATTACCGCGACATGATCGTGTATTACCTGCGCCGAGTTTCGGCTTGTCGCGAGTTCGCGCGCGGAAATAAAACGTCATGACCTGCACACGATGACGCGCGCAAAAGCCGTTTGTAATTCGTTGCGACGCGGCCCGTTACATTGCGCGGAATTAGTTTGTAAAGACGCGATTTACAAGAACGCCGACAACGACGGACGATAGGGGAGATTTATGCCTGCGGAAAGAGGGGACGCGCGGCATCGAACGCGGCCGTTGGTATCGATTCGAGGCGATAACATGCAGCTATTTGAATTCGCTTCAGCTCGCGCGACACGGCTTGAAATTCAATGAAAATTCGCCGGCAATAAAACTTCTTGACACTACATATATATGCGGAGGATGGTTCATCAACCCTCGCAAGTGTGCTGTTTCATCACAGTTTCCACCATTTCCCTCGATTCCGTATGATTTCGTATGCGCGCGCCGTGCGCGTCCTTCCCGCGAAAATGGTTCCCCGAATAGCTTCTCGAAATCTGTCGATTTTTTTCTTCACAGTCTACCATTTTTTATTTCCAAATGAGAGAGCAAATGTATTGCCGAGCAATTATAATCTTTTGCGCTTTTCTTTGCGCAACGATATCCGAGCAAGTATCGTCACATCTTGGATTTCAACAGATTCGGCAGAGTCACATTTTTTTTTTTTAATGTCTAGCGATATTGCAAGTCCCCGTAGAAATTGCCAACGTGTCGGCTAGCGTGCGACGCATCGGCGTGCTTTGAAGTTCATCGTTTCGATGGTTCTTGTTTTCGTGAATTTCCGGCTGAGCGAAAATGTTTCATCGGGGCGCCGGATCGCCACCGCCGTCGCACCGGTTGCGCCAACAAAAGCGCGGAAAACGGTTTCAATTCGGAGTGTGCCTGACGCGCGCGGACGACACATTGTTTGGACACTATTATCGTTGTTACATCCATCGGTTTTTTGCAGTTACCTACATGCCGGCGAGTGATCGAGAGGATCTGTCTCGTGACAGAAAACTCTTCAGTTCCAAATATAGACAGATGGCCCGTTTTATCATCTATATAGTATGGTTTGTTTAATTAAATATTACATTTTGAAGGGATAAATCGATTAAAATAAACTCTCCTTTTTTTTTTTTTTTTTTTAATTTTGGACGCCGTGCGAATGACAGGAATTAAATATTAACTACATTACTAAATATTATTAACATTAATAATAAACGGTAATCTTGATTGACTTTATCGACTTTGGTAACATCTAGTAACAATCTCGATTTAGTATAATAATCCTGATGCGCTACTGAGTGTTAAATAGCTCTCTCTCTCTCTCTC